CTGAGATTAAATAATAACTTAAGTTCGGGAAAATAAACCTAGGCAAAAAGAAGCCATTAAGAAATCTGACACCTTTGAATCTTATTTTTCTTTGGTTCCAAAAAATGAACCAGCAAAGTCATTATGACCTGCAAATACTAGTCCTACAAATATTCTGCTTTGCAGCATATTAAACAAAGTCTGTTTTACAAGGTTTGAATAGTCCTCCTTGTTCATCAGGGAAAGAACTGTACACAACACTGTGGAATGCAGACTACTCAGTTAACAGAAACCCACTTTCCAAGTCAGAGCATGTTCAAGGAATTGAATTTCCAACACTCTGGAGTTAGGCACAAGCTCAGCCCCAGTGTGCCACAGACTTAACAGACCACAGACACAAGCTGTGTTGCGCAGGTAGCTAAGGAAATGAGGTTACATATTCAGTTAGGGTAGAAGCTGTGGTTGTGGATTGCTGGTACCTCAAAAGACTACTGCTGACCAGTTAATAGCCAGCAACCTGACCCCTCCCCTCAGTCCCTGGCAAAGCTTTGTTTTAAAATAAATGAAACAAACCAGCTGTAGAGATTGTATATTTTTAAGCATGGCAAGCTTGCATGAAGCAATGTCAGCTCCTGCATGGTGCAGCTGTAGTGGTTGCAAAGAATTAATTAAAAAATTATGCAGCAAACACCACTTTCCCCACACCATGGGCACCTCCTCATACTTTGGAAGAGCAGTAAAACAGGGATAGTTGTAAGACAAGTCAGTGATGTCAAACTCTCTCTCCACATTAGTGCAGGCTGTATTGTGAAGAGGCCTTGCAACCTTTGCCAGCTACGAAAATTTACTAGTTAAGCATTGACCAGGCAGTGTATTTCTAAAGACACATTTTTTTAATCTGAAGTCCTAGGCTTTAAACACTTCAGAAGTATGTTTTTCTTTTTATCAGCCATAACTAGGTTATTTGATTACAGCAACTTAATAACCTCTGAAATACTCCTCTACAAAACCTCTCATAACTTAGAAGTGATTTTGTACTGCCATTAAATACCAAATCACAGCTTCTTAAGCTGCATAATCACTTTCTAATAAATTTAGCTCTTGTTCCTGAAGCAGCCTGTCAGTGTTGAAATTAGAATTAAGACTCACAGGACAGTTCAGGCTGGCACAGATTTTTGCAGGTCTGCATCCCAGCTTTCTTCTTTGTATAGCCATCAGATCAGGTTGCTTAAAGCCTGATCTTGAAAACCCCAAAGGATGGAGATAGCACAGCCTTTCTGGGTCCCCTCTCAGCTGCTTTACTGTCATCATGGGGAAGAGTTTTTCATTAAGTTCATGTTCTTGTTTATTTCAGCAGCACTCACAGTCTTCTGACTGTATTCTGATTTTAAACTATGGACCTGATGAAGAAATAACATGGTGATGTTCTCTGGCCTGTGTTAAACTGGAGGTCAGATTAGAATAAACAAAATAATCCCCTGTGGTTTTAAATATCTGGATATCTTTCCCAGCGACTCTTAGAACAGAAAATCCAAACAAAACAGAATTATTCCAAACTTAAGGCTGCAATAAGGAGGAGAAAATACCTAAGGCAACAAATTTGCCTTGTCTGGGAACCAGGACTGGAGAAGTGTTTTCTTTCTATTATAGTGGGAGTCTGCTACAGGCCACCTGACCAGGAAGACCAAGTGGATGAGGCCCTTTATAGACAGATAGAAGAAGCCTCATGTTCACAAGTCCAGGTCCTCATGGGGCACTTCAACTACAATCACTCTGGTACCTGTTGGCAGGGCAACACACCAGGGCATAAGCAATCCAGGAGGTTCCTGGAATGTGCTGAAGATAATTTTCTTCTCCAAGTGACAGAGAAGCCAACAAAGAGAGGTGCTATGCTGGACACTGTCCTCACCAACAAGGTGGTGCTGTGGGGAATGTAAAGCTCAAGGACAGCCTTGGCTGCAATGACCATGAGATGGTGGAGTTCAAGATCCTTAGGGCAAGGAGGCAAGTGCACAGCAAGCTCCCTGCCCTGGATTCAGGAAAGCAGACTTTGGCCTCTTCAGGGACTTGATTGGTAAAGTAGCATAGGATAAAGCCCTGGAGGGAAAAGGAGCTCAAGAAATCCAGTTAATAGTCAAGGATAACCTCCTCCAAGCTTTGTCATGATGCATCCCAACAAAGAGGAAGTCAAGCAAAAACACCAGGAGGCCTGCATGGATGAACAAGGAGCTCCTGGACACATTTAGATGTAAAAAGAAAGAGAACAGAGGGTTGAAGCAAGACAGGTAGCTTAGGAGGAATACAAACAAGTTGACAGAGCTTCCAAGCATGAGGTTAGGAAAGCTAAAGCCTAGACAGCATTAAATCTGGCCAGGGACCTGGCAAGGGAAACAAGAAAAACTTCTAGAGGTATGTCAGTGACAAAAGGAAGACTAGGGAAAATGTGGGCCCTCTCTGGAAGGAAACAGAAGACCTGGTTACTTGGGTCATGGAGAAGGCTGAGGTACTTTGTGACTTCTTTAACTCAGACTTCACCAGCAAGCACTCAAGCCACACTGCCAAAGTCACAGAAGGCAAAGGCAGGGACTGGAAGAGATCAGGTTTGAGACCATCTAAGGGACCTGAAGAAGCACAACTCCATGGGACCTCAGGAGCTGGATCTGCAAGTCCTCAGGGAACTGGCAGGAGCTGCTTGGAGGAGAACAACAGTAGATTGAAGGTATTTGCTGATTCCATTAGTAGGCTTACAATAGGCAACCTTCAGGATAAAAAGTTCCTCCAGCTGTATCTTAGTATAAACACAAGAAGGAAGCATCTAGAGCTGAAAGCTTCTGTGTTATAGATTATTTGTTGGTTCAGTAAAGCACATCAGCATGCCAGTGTGTTACCTGCTCCCTATGATTGCAGACAGACCTCATTTTTTGCAAATTCAAACTATAAGGGCAGAGTAATATTGCAATACTTCAAGAAACAGAAGCCTGCAGAAATACTAGTGGAAGCAAAATCACTGCACATACAACCCAGCTTCAATTCTAATTATAATTCACCCTGAAAAAACACAAAGCAACAAATGCTTAAGAAATTAAGTCCGTTTTTCATCATACACACAAAAAAAACCGCTTTCCTTTGAAATCCCCCTTCTTCTTCCTATGCTGGCAAAGTCCAGATTAAAAGATACAGTGTCCTGGTTTGAGTCAGGATGAAGCCCATTTTCCTTTTACTGATTTTCTTTCCTTCAGCAAGCTTTCTTTTAATTAGCAGCAATTTTTCCAGCTATTAGACTAATAAAGCTGGTATGTTTATGTTACTGCTGAGACTCCAAGGTCGCTTCTTTGCTCTGCCACCTCAGATGCTACAGAGCAGAAGAGCGCTATCTGCAGCCCTGCCGTAGGAAGGAGTGGACTAGATGGACACCAAAACTGACCAAAGTATTCCATTCCATATATCTATCTAAGCTCCGTGTAAGGTCAGAGATCATGGGAGTCCAGTGCCTTTCTGTTTCTTCTTCCCTTCTCTCCCATCCATGGCCAGCATCCAGGGACAATTCCATCTACCAGGCTCATGCATCAGTCTCCTCTCAGCTCCTAGCTGCTCTGCCTTTCCTCCAGCATCTCCAGGACATTTCAGAACTACTCACCCCTCAGGGGATGCTGGGGGAGTTGCTGGTGTTGGCGAGAGACAAGAGAGGTTTGCACGTTCCTGAACACATTTGTATATATTGTACATATTTTATCTTTAGTGCTTAATTAAAGCTGTCTAGTTTAGTTTTCAATACAGAAAGTCTCTCTCCATTTACTCTCTCTACTTCACTACCTGGGTGAGAGTTGCTTGAGGGAATTATTTTCGCTGGTTTAATTCCCAATCCTGAGTCAAACTGTGACATACAGTTCCTGCCTTCTTTCTACCTATTACTGTAGAAAAATCATAGGAAATGGAAACCAAACCACAGGTTTGTCCAGACAAATAGCTGTCACGGCCAAGAATAAGGCATTTCAAAGGACAGGAAACACTGCTAGATTAAGTTTCTTGATGTACGACCTACCAATTACCTGTGGGCCCTAGCTGCATATAAACTGCAAAATATTCAGATAAGCTTTAACGTATGAGTATTCTTCTTGTTTGTTACTCATGTGGTCCAAGTATTTGCATATAACATCTCACATCTCTTACAGCAAATTCACAGATTTCCCACTTGAAAGAAATGAATCATGACTTCTTAACTAAAAATTCTAAAAATTATATAAGTACACTGATATCTCTAAGGTGTAACGTCCTGTCTTTTTTTTAATTACCTGCAGCCACAGCTGAAGATTCAGGCCCTCTCCACTATACAGTACATTCTTCTGCAAAGTCCTCCTCATCCACAGGGAACTATTCCAGCAAGGATACTTCCACTTACTTGCCACACACTTCAGGAAAACTAACTATAGTACTATAAAAGGCAAATTGTTCTGCCAACACCTCTCTCATCTGGACAGTTTAGTTAAAGAACAGCAAAGCTTGTTTATTATACATAGCCTTATAAACAGGAAATTGGAGAATAATTCACTTCCCCATTTGTAAGCTTCAGATGGGAAGTCAAGAGAGGGTGGAAGGGTAGAATTCACTGCATTCTGTACTCTTAAAATTTCTTGTACTGTACTTAGTTGTACACACTTCCAAGGGAATTGGGCTTCGCTTTTCAACTGTTCTGTACCTGCCTAAGTGGCCAGACAAACTGCAAAGCAATGCAGACTTGGTTAGCTTTCAACAAGCTAATAATGCAAGCACTGACCATCCTTAGTGATTAACCTGAGAAGCTTACCAGGTACAAATAGCTAGAATGAAAACATTTTAGACTAACAAAACCCACCATACCTAACAACTGCAATTAAGATTTCATACTACACCTGCAAGACGCCCTCCTCCCTCCCACTCACTTTTTAAAGGCTTGAATTTCACAACGCCTAAAAATGAGGGCGGAAAGATATCATGCTTGTAGTAGACAGAATGAAAGCTAGCTTATGCTTCCTCACACTTACCAACACTTGTAGGAAATAGATCCTCATTGTTGATTTGCACCTCAATCCAGTCCATGAGAAGATTCATATATTGAGGTGCTGGCAATGGTGTGGGCTTCTTGTACTTCATGTCATCCTGCCACCGGTACTCATACTTAGGGCCTCCAGACATAACTGGGCATGTCCTCTCTGTGCAGAACTCACAGATAGTTCCATAAATGAGGTTGATCCTGTTGAAAAAGTCAACAACATGGACAGCCACCCAGTCATTTTGGTCTTCTCCGCTGGGCAACTGCACAGCTGCTTTCAAGTCCACGCCTGAGTTCAGAGAGGCCTGTGCTCGTTTGTGAAGTTCAAACCTCTGGGTCCCAGGTTCGAATTTGCGTTTTGGGCGGAAAGTTTTATCCTTATTAAAGACTTGCTTGAGTGCTATGGACATGTCTGCTAATCTTCTGTTCTGTAGCAGCTAGCAGAAAAGCATGGCTGAAATTCAATGCAGGTATCTGAAAATGGTTGCGGCCTATCACAGGTCCTCCAGGCCCTGTTGTTTTTCTCAGAGAAGCTTGTATCAACTTTGGAAGGGTCCACTAGTTCTTCCTCTTAAAAGCCTTTCTGAAAGGCTTCATGTCCCTAAGGATTTGGAAACAATATTTATTAGTGTTAGGCTTTTGTCTGGCCCAGTCAAGTTTGTTACTAGTAATTATGAACTGAAAAACAAATACATAACAAGCTGGCCTTAAGAAATGGCCAACAAGATAAACCTTGAAAAGATAGAAAAAAGCACCTCACTTTTTAAAGTATTCAGGAATCCAAAGTATCCATTCCTTTTCAATAACTACCAAATAGAGGCTTTTAAGGTATTAGAAAGATGGGAATTGAATAAATCTTGTATAATCTTTCCATCTTTAAAGACTCATTTTTAAAGCAATCTTATAATTTTGCTGCATTTTTATAGTGACTGCATATCATACATAATGTATATATAAACTTAGTAGATAATATGTCACAATTTCAAAGTCTTATATAACTGCTCCAAAAGTGACCCTATAATTTCACCATAGCTTCAGAGATCTCTGTAAGAAAAAAATTCCCAAGCAAGATTGTTACTTACTTTTATTTTTGCAAACCTCATAAAACCTCATTAGAGTGAAACTTACAATATTGCCCAGTTATTTTTCTTGACCCATCTTCAGGTAGTTTACTAGTGGTTTAATTTTCTTTTGGATTTTGTAGAATGGTATTTCCCACTGTTTTCCTTAACAGAAATCATGTTCATGAAAATTTTACTAGGCTATGAGTGGCAAGCACTAAACTCTTTTGAAGGCAGTTGCACAAAACTTTGCTGAGGGGTAGAAAGGAAGAGAAAAAGGTGCTTATTTTTTCTTAAGTACAACAAGAAAGCAACATATACCTAAACAATGAGAAACATGGTGTGCTAGACCCCATTGCCCCCCAGTAAAATTCCAGTGCCATATAAAATCCTCTCCCAAATAGCTGAAAGATTTGCCAGCAAGGAGCACCTAAACAAAATCAGTAGAGAAGTGTCTGGTTCTCCTTTTGCTGATGGCATGATGGAGGGATACTCCAATCATGAACTTATAAACAGCCATTCTTCCTGGGTCAGCAAAAGATGAGAATTTCAAGGATGAACTCCAGCAAGACATATCTGACACGCCCCTTGGACTATTGTTCAAACACAGAGATCCTGAGTGTTCAAATCCAGATATCCTGACACCTGACAAAGGTCAGGGGAAGAAGACTTAAAGAAACCCCCTAGGCTTGGAACAATTGAGTTAAGTGCCATTGGCAGGAAACAAAGGCACTTTAAAGAGACAACTTTGCTCTGCAGTTTGTTGTTTGTAACTAAGACCCATAACCTCCAGTTCTCAGATACTCTGTGCCAGTCAGCTGTTTCTTTAAAAGCTTTTCAAAGAATAGGTGAATACTGTTGCACAGACTTAGCTTGTGACTGATAAACATTGAGCTGGCATGGAGCCAGTGTCCCAGTTTGCAATAACAAGGGTGTTTGTTCCAGACTTTTACAGCTTAGATAATTGCTTTTTTCCCCACCCTAATATACCTGGTGCTCTTATGTGGTGATTTTAACTCCCTTCCTCACCTGTAAATATTTACCAGAACACACAAGGAGCTTTTATTTAAAACAACAAGTGGATCACCAAACACAGCTCATCTTCAAAAGACACACTGAAGCACAGTAGTCACTGCTATTAAGCTTTTCCAAGAAAAACAGAAGACACCGTAATTTACAAGTTGTTTTTTTTTCTCTTGAATATGAAAGCATTAGCAATAGTATTATTACTCTTTCTCGCTCCTCTCTATCCATTCAGCTAGAATGCATAAAATAAATTAATGCCGAGAAAAAGCAACCGAAACACTCAGCAAACAACTCGTTATCTCAAGCTTTCTGTGTATCAGAAGTCACACACTGAAAGTGTCTGTGGAAGCACACAAACATCGTGGTCAAAGTCATCCGAAAGGCTAATCCAAAAGATAACTACTACACAACCAGAACAAACTGTTATTTAATTCACCAAGCCAGAATCCCAACAAACAAGAATTTCCTACACATTTCCTGTTTGGAGAGTTATCTGTTCAGTGTCTTGCACTAAAAGCTAAGGTTCTTCCTCTTTCATCTTTCTATCACTTTATACAACAAAGTACATATTATCATTGCAAAGCTGGACTGTAGAAGTAAAACTCATTGTTTAAATTTTCTTTGAGACTTAGGTCTGCTAAGAGCTGATTTTTAATTCTCTCTGAAAATGTGCTTGAAGGCTGTACAAAGCCAGGGGGATAGACAGTCTTGCTTTTTCATGTGTAAGAATGCAAAATATAAAAATGTTTGACCTAAATTTCCTAGAAATACTATGGTTAATCAGCTCTCTGAAATATTTTTTCCATCCCACTTCCTCAGGGTATTTGCTATCTAGTAAACCCTCATCTTCACTCAAAAGTTAACAGAAACAAAAGAAGAAATGAACAAGAATTTTCAGTCTCGCTTCCTCACTTCCAACACAGACTGCTTTACTGCAGGTTACACAACTACCCTTACTGCCCCCACTCAAGCTCAGTTAGGCTTTTCTGAAGAGTTACAAACAGCATCACCATTAACCTCTCTGGAATAAAGAAGATTTCATTTTACTCACAAGAGACAAAAGAACAGGCTCACCTGATTTTCAGGAGAGACTAAACCCAGATACTATGGTTGGATCCTTCAGAGGCTGAAGTGGGAACACTGTGGGCACTAAAAGCTTCTCTACTGCTTAGGCAATAAAGTGGTGGTAGTTAATGGTGGGACAGCCACTCCTCTGCTTTGGACTGAATCATTAAGCCATTGAAGGAACTAATTCACCATTAGACTTCCAGCATGTTGCTGCACTGTGTTGGAATCAGCAGTCAGTGCTGAAAGGTCTGTCACTCAATCCTGGATCACATACTGTCAATTAAAACTTTGTAGTGTTTGACTTATAAAACAAAGCTATTAGTTTAAAATCATTTAGCATTATCCAAAGGTAAACACATGACAACCTCAACAAATGAGCAAAACCTTCTGATTTTGAAAGCACTAAGAATGTAACTTGGCTTGCTGGTCACTACTTACACTTCCACACCAATTTTCATCTGGTGAGAAATGCTCTCAGTTTCATTACCTGACTATGTCTTGGGAGAGTTACTTCCAGAGAAGAACTCTGTGAACAGCTGTGAACAGTGTTGTGGTATTGGTTATACTGCATCATAGCTCCTTGAAATCTGTAGTAGAGTAGGTCCCACCCTCCTTCCATGTAAAATTAAACTTTACTTATTGCTAAGGTATTTTACACTCTTGTATTGGAGTAATGCCTGCAAAACTGCTCCTGACTTACACCTGTGTCAAAGGCAACAGAAACTGGCTTCCAATGTTTTATGATGGGTTCTAACTAAACAAGAGAGCATAAAGAATGGCATTATGGCTCTTTGCTTTGATGGTATATAGAGCCAGCATTCTGAATGCTCTTCTGAACTACATGCTTAATATATGTCTGTCCAGGCACAGGCCGCTCAGATAGGTAATTCCTTCCAACACTTAAGCTTCTTTGTTTTCAGAGCAACGTATTTATGAGGATGTGTGACAGTCACCAACAGCTTTCCTAAGGGACTGTTCCACTGCATGAATAATGCAGTTGGGTGAATATAGCTGCTGGCAGAGCCATGAGTGATTCAGAGATGATCTGTAACTGCAGATGTGGAGATGATATCAAAACAAAGAACCAGACCCTCACAATCTTCACCCACAGTGACAGCACCACAGTGATCAATGCTATCCCTAGCTTTATGTAGAAACGTGCACATATAGAGATAGCAACTCAGTCTAAATATCAGGTGTACCAAATCAACATGTGAAAATAATAAACCAGTCTTACCCATGCAGATCCCAGCAGAAAGAACACCCACAACAAGCCACACACTATGATCATCATCATGTGTGAGTCACTACTGAGTTAAAAACATATGGCATCATTTCATCATATACGTTCTATTAAATTACAAGTAATAAGAATGTTAAGAGACAGACTTACAAGATAAACCTTCTTTGCCTCAGTCTTTAACAAAAAGAATAGCTACCCTCAGGACAACTGGGCTCCTCAGGTGGTAGACAGGGATGGGGAGCAGAATACCCCTCCTGTAATCCAGGAGGAAGTAGTTAGGGACCTGCTGTGCCACTTTGATCCCCACAAGTCCATGGGTCTGGACGGGATTCATCCTAGGGTGCTGAGGGAGCTGGCAGAAGAACCGGCCAAGCCACTCTCAATCATTTATCACCAGTCCTGGCTGATTGGGGAGGTCCTAGATGACTGGAGGTTGGCCAGTGTGACACCCATCCACAGGAAGGGCTGGAAGGAGGATGTGGGGAACTATAGGCCTGTCAGCCTGACCTCAGGACCTTGCAAGGTAATGGAGCAGAATATCCTGAGCTCCATCAAGCAGTAGAAGACAACCAGGGGATCAGGTCCAGGTAACATGGGTTTAGGAAAGGAAGGTCCTTCCTGACCAATCTCTTCTCCTTCTATGACTGGATGACCCTCCTAGTGGATGAGGGGAAGGCTGTGGACGTGGTCTACCTCAGCTTCAGCAAGACCTTTGACACAGTCTCCCACAGCATCCTCCTGGAGAAGCTGGCAATCCACTCCTTGCTGTATTAAAAACTGGTTGGATGACTGGGCCCAGAGAGTGATGGTGAATGGAGCTGCATCCGGCTGGTGTCTGGTGACCAGTGGTGCTGCCCAGGAATCAGTCCTGGGCCCAGTCCTGTTCAACATCTTTATTGACAACCTGGATGTGGGGATTGAGTCCACCCTCAGTAAGTTCGCAGATGACACCAAGTTGGGGGGGATAATATCAATCTGCCAGAGGGTAGGAAGAAGCTGCAGGGGGGACCTGGACAGG